TAAATAAGCTTTCCATTGATGTATGGTTTGTTAGGATAGGACATTTCCCGCTGCCAGACCGCTCTGCAGGACGTCAAGACCAAGTTCCCACTGAAAGTGGTGGTGAAAAAGAAAGAGCAGAAGACGAGCGCAGACGTGTTCGGCAGCAGGTGAGAATGGATCAAATCAACACTGAAGCTGTGATTGAAATCGATGAGACGTGCGTCATGACTTCCAGCATGTACGTGTCTGTCAGCTGGTAGACATATTTGCACAGCTGTTTTTCATTAAGGTTTCTGCAGGTGTTAAAAAGGTCCTAATTTGCTCTTCCACTAATTAAGGCCTTAAAGTCCCCCTGTGGTCAAATATTTTATCCCTTAAAACTTATCTTTGATCATCAAAATGACATATTGAAATGTTTTTTCTTGTGAAAATAATTTTCTCATGCCTTAAAATGGCTTGAATGTAACTCTACACTAGAGCTGGGCGATATAGCTAAAAAAATGTATCAATGATATAATGTTTCATATCGTTATTATTTATCGTAAATTATTAAAAATTTTTATAACCTTTTTTAAAACAAAAAGCAATAGAAATGTTTTTAATTGAACCACTGTATTTATAATTAACACAATTTATTGAGACATAAATATTTTTTGTTTTAGCAATCAAACAAAATAAAAATGAAACAAATACCTAATTTCTAATGTTTTATATGCAGATTAAATAGGTCTAATTGTCTCCTCGTGGGCTAGACTAACAAAACATTAAAATACAACAACGTCAGTTACATCATTATCACCGCATCTCGCGCGCCACTGATGACGCTCCCTGACGCACTCCTAACATTCAAATGCAAATGTTTATTTTAAATTTGACTAATATTCATTCTTTATTCACAATCTCCTCATCACAGGCAGGCACAGCACTTCATTTCAGCATGTGTTCGTGTTTGTGTGTGCTGTCTGCGTCACTCATAGCATGTGCCTATATCGTGCGCTATATCGAACAATTTTTCTATCGATATCGAAGAAGGTGTACCGTCGGTAAATATCGATACCATTTTATCGCCCAGGCCTACTCTACACCCTTGGCTCATTTACTATAGGCGGATCTATGAATATGCAAATTAGTCCCGCCTCCACTCAGTCACACCAGCCAGCGCCTCCTGATCCACTGAACTGTAGTAAACGCAAAACAATGGCATACAAGGATAATGACTGATAAAATTATGTTTTTACTAGCGGACAGCTACAGTGAATACTGTAACATTTGTTAAAGTTACTTACTTGACGATGTTGTGTCCTAAAATGCCTTAAAGACTCGAATGCAGCCGTTTGTGATTGTTAATTCGTGCCCGTGAGCATACGCGTATGAAGTGCAGACGCAGCTGTGGGAGAGGCTACTTTTACACTGCTGCCGCGGGTTATAATGCAAGTTAGCGGTTCTAAATTCACATTAAACCACGGCTTCATGGGGATTTTTCTCTAATGTATTTTTGGTTTTGTGCTGGTATTGGTATATTTTACATGCTAGACATGGGAATCTATCCCTTGACGTGATTGGTTATTGGATTGTGACGTAGCAAACCAAGGGCTGTTTCAAACTGCATTTCTGGGACTGCCATTGGGAAGCTACAGTTTTAAGGAAAATACTGAGAAAATACTCAGCAATGGTGTTGGCACATGGTTTGTCTAAAAGCATATTAAAAACACCACATAGACAAATAAACAACATAAAAAACTTGATTTTCACTACAGGGGGAATTTAAGTCAGAACAGAAAGTCTTAAATTGATAAAGTCATGGAATTAAATGTTGCATGAATTGCAAAAAATGAGTATCTAGCTCTGTATTTTTGTTGTTTTTCAGTAAAAATATCTAAACATCCTTAAATCAAGATACATTACTTGAAATGCAAAATGAAGATATGAAGTCTTGTTTTCTGAGCAATCTAGCAAAATTAAGTGTATTTATGCTTAAAACGGACAAAAATCTGCCAGTGGAGTCAGAAAAATCTACTTTTTTTCCCCTCTGAATTCGTTTTTTTTCTTTTTTCTGACCATATTGGCAGATACTTGTTTTAAAGATAAACTCACTTAATTTTGTAATTTCTTTGTCCCCTTCAATTTATTTCTTAAATTTTCTTTTTGGTCTTAAAAAAAAGTTTTAAACCTGAAGAAACGCACAGTAATGCAAACCCATGTGGGAGGGGTTTATTTTGTGTTTGACCAATCTGAATGAAGTATTCCAGAGGGGCGTGTAAAAAAATATGTAAGCACCGCCCACTGTGAGTGTTTTCAGTTTCATTGATGTCATTAATCTGAAAGTAGTTTGTATGTGTGTCGTCTTCAGTGCTGATGAACCAGATGCGAAGAAAGTCAAAGTGGATGAAGAGACGGAGTTTAACCTGGCCGAGATTGCGAAAGGAAACATCACATCGGTGAGACTCTCATGTCTGAAATCTGTTCAGTAATCTACATTTCTCAGATTAAAATGACTAAATATCAGAAGTTTATATTTATATACACTATTGTTCAAAGGTTAGGGGTCATTTCGAATGAAATTAAGACAATTATTCAGCAAGACTACATTAAATTGATCAAAAGTGACAGTAAAGATATTGATAATATTACAAAAGATTTCTATTTCAAATAAATGCTGTTTTTTTTAACTTTCTATTCATCAAAGAATACTGAAAAATCAAATGTATCTCGGTTTCCACAAAAATATGGGTAGCACAACTGTTTTATGTAGCTTTAATTAATTAATTTATTTTAGATTTGTATATTAATTTTAGTATTTCAGATTATTTTAGTTTAACATTTTTAATTTAATTTAGTAAGTTTTAAGTATTTAAATTATAGAAATGTTAGTTATATTTATGTTAATTATATATTAAATATAAATATTAATGTATATAATATATATATATACATTATTTATTTTAATTTTAGTACTTCAGCTTAATTAAGTTTTTAATTTTTATTAAATTTTGTACGTTTTAAGTTTACATATAAATTGAAGAAACGTTAATTTTAGTTAATGACTGCAGTGGTTACTAATGATCATGAAAACATTTCACTATTCCGTTTCTGCTTAAATGCTTGAAAGCTGTATTATAGTCAAATACAGATTGGGCATATATACAGTTTCTTTTTTTTCATTGAAATTTTTGGACCCCTTTTACACCTGCCCACTTATAATCTGATCACCTGAGACAGGTGTAAACGGGGCCTGCATGTGACAGTTTTTTTTAGTGTTGATTTTTAATGACCATGAGTATGAGCTCAGAGAATTGATGCATTTGCTTACGCACTTCTTACTGCACCTGCCCACAATGTACTCCATCAGAGCGGAAACGCAGAGCTGTTCAACAGCTACATGCAGTCCCTGAAGAGGAGCGTTCCTGACAGGAATCTTCAGGAGTTCTGGGATCTGCTCATCCAAGGTAAAGAACAGGCCTCCTGCTCATGTTGAGCTGAAGACTTCATGCCTTCAACATGCGCTTTTGTTTTCAGATGCTCTGACGCTCATTAGCAAAGATGAAGTGGACGGAAGCACCTTTTCCAAACAAGATGCAAACCAGGTACTTATAGCTTACAGCTTACAAGTTTTAAGAAGTTCATTTGAAATATTTTTATTTTAATTAAAGGAATAGTCCTTTGAATGTCCTCAGGTCATCCAAGATGCATATTTTGAGTTTGTTTCTTCATCAGATTTGGAGAAATGTAGCATTCATCACTTGCTCACCAGTGGATGCTCTGCAGTGAATGGGTGCCGTCAGAATGAGAGTCCAAACAGCTGATAAAAACATCACAGTAATCCACACCACTGCAGTCCATCAGTTAACATCTGGAGAAGACAAAAGCTGAAACAAATCCATCATTAAGGCATTTGTAACTTCAAACTTCTGACCAAAATGAGAGTCCATAATCCATAACTCTTCCTCCAGTGAGAAAGTTGTCTCGTCTGATTTAGAAGAGAAATTTGCACAGTCCAAAACCGCTCTAAACAAATATGTGGCTGGATTTTGATGTGAGAGACGACAGGAGAAGCACTTTTTCACTGGAGGAAGCGTTATTATGGATTATGAACTTTCTCACAAACACATCTTTTCACTTCTCAAGATGTTAACTGATGGACTGGAGTGGTGTGGATTACTTGTGGATTATTGTGATATTTTTATCAGCTGTTTGGACTCTCATTCTGACGGCACCCATTCACTGCAGAGCATCCATTGCTGAGACACTGATGCAATGCTACATTTCTACAAATCTGATGAAGAAACAAACTCATCCTAATCTTGGATGGCCTGAGAGTAAATGCATTGCCAATCTCATTTTTTTTTATTTTAGTGTTTGATTTGACATCCGTTTTACATGTTGAGATTGTTGGTAAAGTCTGTGCGTTATTATGGTCGTTTAACCCTGTGTTTGCTGGTTTAGTTCTTGGCGTTTGAGCAGAAAGAGGAAGTGCAGGCGGCTCCAGTGCAGGAGGACACTGGAGATGTGGATGATCTGGTGAGTGTTTCATGCTTGTTTGGTTGTTTCAATGACAAGCACATTATTTATTATATTTGTGAGTGTAATTCTGATCTGTAAGTATATTAAATCATCTATACTTTAGTAGAGATTTCAGACCTTTACTTTTGGCAACATGTGAAGCTGACTGATGTTTTTCGATGCAGCTGGACATGATGTAAAGCGGTTGTCTTCAACACCTGCGTCCATCCACAGCTCATGCAACTCTGCGTTAGGTGCCATTCCTTGTGTCTATTAACGAAACGCAAATCTCCAAAAAAGTTCTAGTGCTTCACTAAATCAGGTTCGTTTGTACTTTGCATGATTATGTTGCTCGAGCTTGATTACTTGAATGTCGCACAGTCTGTATTTGTTGGATTTTCTAAAGGAAAATAAATGTCCGTGTACTTTATACAGAAACTCAAATAAAAGATCATCAAACAAAATAAAACTTGATTACAGTTCCATTTAGTCCTGGGGGGAAAATCACATTTTGAGCACATTATTGACATCCGTTTTACATGTTGAGATTGTTGGTAAAGTCTGTGCGTTATTATGGTCGTTTAACCCTGTGTTTGCTGGTTTAGTTCTTGGCGTTTGAGCAGAAAGAGGAAGTGCAGGCGGCTCCAGTGCAGGAGGACACTGGAGATGTGGATGATCTGGTGAGTGTTTCATGCTTGTTTGGTTGTTTCAATGACAAGCACATCATTTATTATATTGTGAGTGTAATTCTGATCTGTAAGTATATTAAATCATCTATACTTTAGTAGAGATTTCAGACCTTTACTTTTGGCAACATGTGAAGCTGACTGATGTTTTTTGATGCAGCTGGACATGATGTAAAGCGGTTGTCTTCAACACCTGCGTCCATCCACAGCTCATGCAACTCTGCGTTAGGTGCCATTCCTTGTGTCTATTACGAAACGCAAATCTCCAAAAAAGTTCTAGTGCTTCACTAAATCAGGTTTGTTTGTACTTTGCATGATTATGTTGCTCGAGCTTGATTACTTGAATGTCGCACAGTCTGTATTTGTTGGATTTTCTAAAGGAAAATAAATGTCCGTGTACTTTATACAGAAACTCAAATAAAAGATCATCAAACAAAATAAAACTTGATTACAGTTCCATTTAGTCCTGGGGGGAAAATCACATTTTGAGCACATTAGAGATAAAATAACCTACTGTACTACAAAATTAATTTAACATCCTCCTGGATATCCAGGATTTATTTATTTAGTCTTATTATTGTTTTTTAGTATTTACTTTTATTTCCAATGGTGATTTTCAGTACTTTTAATACATCTATATTACATTTATATGTTTGTTTATTACACAAATTTTTACTAAAATATTGAAATATATTTGATATAAATATATTTAAAATATATATATTTTTGTCATTTTTTTTCAGTGGTGATTTTTTTATTATTATTAATGCAGTACATTTACATTACATTTATATATCTGTTTATTAGATACTAATATTTTTTAAGAACCTTTATTTTTCATTTTAGTGCAAAAACTATGAATATGATTCTCATCAAGATATATATTTTTTTTTTTTGGTAATTCCTATTATTCCCAGTGGTGATTTTCATTATTGTAATACAGTTAAAATACATTTATATTTATTTTATTTGTTTATTATATAATTTTTTTAGAACCACTGAGATTTTTTTTATGAAAAAAAAAAAAGATTTTCATTACTGTCACATATCAAGAGCGTTTTTAAAATTCCAATTATTCCCAGTTGTAATTTTTTTATTATTGTAATCCAGGATCCCTGGATCAGGATGTGAATTACAGTATATGTGTCTACATTTAGCATTATTATTTTTAGAACATGCGGTTCCGACGACTTTTCAGACCAGTTCATTGAAACAAACAGTTTGAAAGAACTGATTTGCGGAAATGAGTCGGACATGCATCATAATCCATGCTCAGAAACCCTGGGTTCTCATGCCAGCCAGCCGTTGAGGGTTTGATCAATTGTGGCGTGTCTTTGGGGGCTGATGATCTCAGTTTGCTGAGAGCATGTGAGCGTCTCAATCCTCCTCCGGGTCTCTGAAAGTGCACACGCTGCAGTTTCACGTCACTGTCTCCCGGGTCGAGCAGCTCGAGCTGCAGGCTCCCATAAACCTGCTTCAAACAACTGTTATGAAGATACGCGACGTGTAGGCTCCAAATAAATGAGACCGAATGATAATGCTGATGTTTGAGAACAGTGATGAGGTGAACCACCGGGTCGCATTTCACAACAAAATCAAAAGAAAAAATAATAAAGTAATATATTTTTATTTACTATGTGGTGATAGTTTTTTTTTAGATTCATTCAAGTTTATTTGTAATACAAAATAATTTTTTGTTTGTTTTTTGTAATTCCAATTATTTTAATTGGTCTTTTTTTTTTACTGTAATACATTTGCATTACATATTTTTATTCATTTTTTTAGAACCATTATTATGTGGTGATAGTTTCTATAGAGTCGTTAAGATTTTTTATTTTTAATGTAAATCTATGATTTTCATTGCTGTCACATCCAGAGTTTGTGTGTGTGTGTGTGTTATTCCCATTAATCCTAACAGTGATTTTTCATTAGTGTAATACATTTGCATTACATTTATATATATATTTATTATTTACTAATTATTTTAAAACCATTAAGATTTTGTATTTATATTTAATGAAATACCAAATTTGACCATCATGTCCAGAGTGAATTTATTTATTTATTTATTATTATTTTAATACAATAATTTACAATACAACCATTTTCAAAAAAACGAATTTTATTTTAAATGTATTAAATAGAAATGGAATTCTTTTTTTACATTTATGCATTTAGCAAATGCTTTTATCCTCTTCCAATAGAGACCTCTTACATAATGACAATGAGATGTATTATGTTAATGAATTTGTGAGGCAAATGTGCTTCATTTTCATGACGATTGTCACAATGCAATCAAATAAAATAATTTAATGTGTACTCCTCTCACATGCACTCATTATGTGAGTAATTGTCTGCTTTAATAGAGTCATGCAGTATTGCAGTAATCAATGGTTCACCTTTTTAAAGTGATTCTGCAGTCAGTAATTGACTGATAGGAAAAGCGTGATGGTTGTTAAACAAAAGGTCACCGTGTAAAACATCCTCAGCACTGATCGCAGCATAATGAATTGATTTTATTCACTCACACAGGAAATGTGAAGTTAAAGCTCGATTAGGCAATTTCTCCAGAAACATTTTTGTTATGCTAGTTCAAAATCTCTTTTGGGGGCGTGGCTACTGGATGTTTAACTGTGAAAAACACATTCAGATTCCGTTATAGAAGTGCAGCCCAAATTAGAAGACTTGCCAAAGTACACAGAGACAGACAGCGGGGTAAAACAAGGGTTAATATATTGGCAGTGTTTTTACAAGATGGAGGAATATTGATGGAGTGTTTGGGTTTCAATCGATACGACGAACTTGTGGAGTTTCTTCCCGACAGGTAAGCTAATCCTCAAGTTAAATGTATTGCTAATGTATTGGGAATGTAGCCTACTTTCACCTGTTGAGACATAAAGGGTTAGTTCACACAAAAATGAAAATTCTGAAAAAAAGTTTGGCAGCTGCATTCACTTTAAGCATATACACATACATATACACTTTTCTTTTAAATAAATATATAAAAATATGAAATATATTCAAGAAGTGCAAACCTAAATTAGAAGTAAATGATAATAATGTACCTCCAATGAAACAAACGTTTTACAAAATATATTTTCAGTTTCCATTATACATTGTTTTAAATTAATTTAATTGCATTTTTGTAGTTTTTTAAAAATATATCTCTATATTTTAGATTCTGTGTCAATTTTATTTCAGTGTTAGTTATTTTACATCAAGTTAAACTAAATGAAATGAATCAGTTCATGTTTATTTTATTTCAAGTAGCAAAAAAGTTAAGTTTTAGTATGATAACCTTGACATTTACTAATATCTGCTTGTAATTTAAAAAAGCAATATATATATATATGTGTGTGTGTGTGTGTGTGTGTGTTGCTGTATGTGTAGGCCTATATACAGTATATATATATATGAGAGAGTTGTTTTTTCCAGTAAAAACATGAATTTGTATTGTATAAAATGCTATAGAAATTTAATTTGCAGTGCATCAAGGGATTTGTAGTTTAATAATTTATTTAAAAAAACATTTAAAAAGCAGTCTTTTACCTTTTGTCATTTTTTCATGCACTTTTTTGCTTTAAATCAGGTTTGTAATGTGGTTCATCTGACGCTGGTTGGTTTGGTTCATGGCTTTGAATTCTTTATTAAAAAATATGATAAATAAAAATGAATGGGATAGATCCTTCTGGAGGAAACAGGCCTGTGCTGACTCTGTTATGCATCACTAGTCGATTCTTTCAAACTTCTCCTCAGGTCTGAAATGGAGCAGTTTTTGATACAGTACCTGATGATTTTACCAGAAGACCAGGTTAGCTTTGACTCATGAGATGCCAGACATTTTTGAAATCATTCCACAATAATAATGATGCAATTTAAACCCAAACTCTTACTTTTAAACTCTGTGTGACCCAGAGAAACTGAAAATCACAGAGAATGTGATGCAATGTGAAAGTTTAAAGTGGATTTCTTTGATTTTTTATTTTTATTTTTTTTAATTATTATTAAAACTGGGCCTTTTTTAAAAAAAAATTATAATTGAAAATCTCTTCCATGCAGCATGAATTGCTACTTATGCAGAGGGAGGGACTATCTCATTCTAGAGAGCGTTTGATTGGATGAATATTTGTGTATTTCAGGATGAGTCCGTATCATCTTTGGTTAATTTTCCAGAAAGAAACAAATTTATAAGTGGACCCTGTTCTCTGAGGTCCACTTACAATGTTAAGATTTTTACATCAAAAAGCATCGCAATTTAGAAGTAATAAGCTATTTCTGTCCTGTTTCTGACCCCCTCATCAGAACGCTCTGTTTGAAGGGGCGTGGCTGATTGTAGACTCTGAAGTAAACGCCCACTGCTATGATTGGCTAACTGTATGTTGGTACGTTTGTAAACAAATCCGCGGTACAATGAAGTGAACAAAGGACCAAGTTCTGACTGGACCTTCATTAAAAATAAAGTTAATCAAATAAAGTTTATGGTTTGGTTTCTGCGTAGACCTGAGTTTGCTGCTCTTGCATAAATCGAAGCAGGCGTAGATCTTGTTCTGCGGAGGCGGGGTTTAGCCACACTGTTACATCACAGAGTAGAACATTCCACAAGCTGTCGTTTTGGTAGATTGGTTTTAATATAAGCTGTTCTATAAGCTGAGTTCTCAAACTTACAGGATGTTTTTATAGCACAATGACCTCTTAAATATCAAAGGATCAAGGGAATTCTGATATCTCCGTTCATGACCCCTTTAACATTTTTGAATAGACTAAGTTGTCATGGGGTGTTTAAACTATTATGCTCTTTGTACACTGACCAGTGTTATTTCAGTATAATTGAGATACTGTTGTAGTATTTACAGTTCTCATTTAAATTTTAGTTTTAGTCATTTTTATTTGTTTTTGGTTTAATTTTAATTTGAGTTATTTTAGTGCTTAAACTAGACAAAATGTTCTCATCTTGAATTTGTTTTTTAAATTATATTTTGTTTGTTTGCATTTGATTAATTTTATTGTTTTTGTCATTTTATTAATTTTTTTATTTATTTACATTTTCATTGTTGTTTTGGAGTCATTTTTATTTTTATAAAGTTTTTTCCATTTTCATTTTAGATGAGGTTTTGTTAATTTGTAATATTTGTAGCTTTTAATTTGTTTTTATTTTATTAATTTATAGCTCAGTTTTTATTTTTTTTTACTTAAACTAAACAAAAATTAATTTTGAATAATTTCTAAAAAAAAAATAATAATAATTTTATTGTGTGTTTGTCATTTTATTAATTTTATAGTTTTATATCATAGTTTTTTATTAGTATTTTGGATTCATTTTTATTTTTTCATTTTTATTTTATTTAAATTTTTATTACTTTTTTGATTTATTTTTTATTTCAGTTTTAATTTGAGTTATTTATTTTAATACTTCGACTTAAACTAAAAGTTTGTTTTTTGTTTTACTTTATTTCAGTTAATGTTTGTTTTATTTCAAGTAACAAAAATGTTTTTTTTTTATGGTTTAAGTTTAGATTTAGTTGAGTAACCTTGACACTGTCCCATGTCTGCGTTTATTGTTAAAGATGCTGGGAATTGGAAAGGAGGTGCTGAATTGAGGAGATCTGGAGTAGATCTGTTATTTTAACTCTTCTGATGGCAGCTCTTCATGGTCTGAATTATTCAGCGCTCAGCATTATCTGACGCCCTACAGGTACTGAGACGGGTCAAACCTTCCTCTGTCCTCCATCATATCTGACTTCTGAGTAATATTTTAGTTAAAGCTTCATGCTGATGTTTGTCATTTCATATATTCAGTTTATTTCCGTAGATATGAAATGGCAAAATGACAAAAATATGGATCTCAGCACACCATGTTCAAGTCGATATATTTGATAGAAATATATAATGGCAAAACAAGTAAACTGCAGAAGTAAGCAGGGACATAAAATAATAATTCACCCCAACTCTGTCACCGTTTACTCACTCGTGAACATTTTCTGTGGACTTTACTAATACTTTTATAACTTTTTTCTTTTGTGCTATAAATCACCTTTTTATGAACCTTAAAAATTAGCTTCCACATTCCGTTGAACTTTTTTTCCACAGAAAAACAAAGAAAATAACATGAGGGTGAGTAAATGATGACAACTTTTGAGTGAACCAGTCCTTTAATAATCAAACCCACAATGTCCAGCCTTCAAATTCAGATCAGCTGTTTATCTGTGGGTTGAACAAATGGTAAATATAATGTTTTTAACAGAATTGTATTTGCAATTTGCTTACATTCATTGAAGGGACAGTCCTCCTGGTGTTAAAGTCAACATGAAACGGTGGTGCATTGCTGCCACATACATACTATTGTTTCCAATTTG